GGTGGCCGTGTTGCAAGCCGGTGGTGCTTGTTACTCTTGGAGGTTGCCACCTCCTAGACAGCTTGGTGGTGGTCTCCATCGAAGCCCGCAAGAAGCTTGTGCGGCGCTCCGGAGAAGTGCTTGTGAGGGGTACTTGTGCTCACCCCGCGGGAGTCGCAAAGAGCAACTTTAGTAAAGCATGTCATTGAGCTACCCTCACTCAAGGGGTAGGTTCTTGCGGTGCCCGACGTGCGGGCTTAGCGGGTGATACTAATTAGCCGCCGAACCACCAAGTGAGCGGTCGACACAACGGGGACTAGCGTGTTGGCAAACACGTGAACCTCGGGAGAAAAATCATCGTGTCAACCTTGTTCTTCCCGTTGGTTTGCATCCCCATTACACAAGCTTGCAATTACTTTTATATATCTTAAGCTTGTGTAGTTGCTCTTGTAATTAGTTAGCTTGTGTAGCTTACTAGTTACCTTCTTGCTTGTGTAGCATAGAAGTAGCTCCCTTGCGTGGCTAATTTGGTTTTAGTAACCTTATTAGTCACATTGCTTAGTTTGTGTAGCTAAGTATTTGCGCTCTCTAATTAGGCATTGATTGCCTTGTTATTGAGCTTTGCTAGTGAGCTTAGTTGGCTTTGTGCTTTTGCTTACTAGCATGTGTAGGAGCTCCCTTGTTGCTTAAAGTACTAGTGGCATAGGTTTATGTGACCTTACTCCTAGAATTGTTTAGGAGAGCTCTAGCTAGTCCGGCACCTTAGTTGCATAATTAGTATCTTTGCAAGGTGCTAGTGAGCATATATAGAGGGGTGTAGTCTTGGCTAGACCGATTGTTTTAATTCCGCATTTATATCGGTTAGCCGACGTGATTAATTTTAGAAAAGACTATTCACCCCCCTCTAGTCCGCCATCTCGACCCTTTCAGGTGCCCCATGGCCAACCGCCACCCCATCGCGCTCCCCCTAGGCGGTCCGTAGCTGCCCCCCTGTCCGATCCGCTCTAAGGCTACGGTGCCGTTGGCTGGTCCATCCACAACGCAAAAGCTCAATCATTGGGCCTGAAGAAATGGAGGGTAGCTCCGCTTCGACCACCACACTCGTGGTTATCACCCCCTTGCCCGGTCACTCTGCGTCACCGGTGAGCTCTAGACCGATGAACTTCATATGGTGACGAACCTCCATTTCTCCCAGACAACAAAGAGGTGCTGCGCTGAAAGCGTATGTTGCAAGTGTACATTTCAAATTTTTCAGAAGTATGTTGCAAGTGTTTCATATGGATGGTGCAAAAGTAGATCGGGATGTTGCATTTGTTGCAATGATTTATACATGTATGTTGCAAGCGTTTGTTCCCAATGTTTCATCTATTTTTTAGACGTACGGAGTATGTTGCAAATGTGTTTATCTAGATGTTGCATATGTTTCACACATATGGAACAAGTGTTTTATCTGGATGTTGCATATGTTTTGCTATGGGTTTCAAATGTTTTTAGGTCTTTTTTGCAAATGTTCCATCTGTCTTCTTTTATATGTTGCAAGTGTTGCATCTAGATGTTTCAAAAGTAGATCTAGTGTTGCATATGTTGCTATGGATATACATGCATGTTTCAAGTGTTTCATTTATTTTAGACGTATGTTGCAAGTGTTTCATTTCGATATTTCAAAAGTAGATCTTGAAAAAGCACATGCAGTTGTTGCTAGTGTGCCGCCGTAGGTCACAGTGCCACCGTGGGTCATCACACGCGTTTGCTGGTGGGTGGTGGGTGGTGGTGCTGCTGCTGCTGCTGCGTGCATGCGGGCGTGTGAAACGGAGCGGGCTCAGGTTGGTCCCCCGTGCATGCATGGGCCCACGTGGCCTCTGGAGCGGGATGGGTGCGTCAGGCACGGGTTCGGCAACACCGTCTGATGCTAACGTCCTGGATCGGACGTTCGGGCGCTAACGAGTCTTATCCTTAAAACGGTTGGAGAATGGAGATGGAGAATAACTAGAAGAATGGTCTGACGTGTGGGTCGGGGGAGTGTGGTAAGTGTGAGGAGCATGAGGGAAAAGCTACACCTGTTCCTTGCGAGGCATACCGCATACACTCCAGGCAACTGAAGTGGACCAGTGACCGTTTAAATACATTACACATGGGGAAGCATGTGCCCATTGTGTAAAAAAACATGAATTTACTCATATGCTACTCTCAATTTTCTCATTTAAAACAATGCCCCATTTCTTTTCTTTTGCTACGTATTTTTTGCCGGTGCAATGGTAAATTGTGCAGTCAGCATAAAGCATCCATGGATTTCATAACGGTTCCTTTGTAAAAGCGCATCAATCATGATGCGTCCATGGCAACAATCTGTGCCAAAGTTTCATTAGAACTGACAACAAGCGCGATTATTCAAATCCAGCCCAAGCCTTCACTACAGCAGACGCATACTTTGCCGAGTACAAACTTTGCACTCGGCAAAGAACTGTCGGCATATTCCTTCACGGTAAAGGCTTCTTTGCCGAGTGCCGCCGCATGTCGGACACTCGGCAAAGGATTTTCTGAGTGCCACGACGGCACTCGGCAAAGATTTACACTCGGCAAAATAAAAATGCGAAAAAATCAAAAATAATAGCAAAAATTTTCAAAAAAAAAATTCAAGGGAGGCCGCCACCGGCCAGCGCCCGCCCGTCTCCATCGAAGTCGCTGCATTTTTTGCGCTAAATTCGCGGCTAACGCGGCTGGCGAGATTCGAACTCACGACCTCTCCCTCGCGTATCTGCTGTTCTACCACTGCACTACACTGTCACTTGTGTCTAGATTCCGTTATCTATCCTCGTATATTATACTAAACCGATAATAAATTGCTTGTTTGAGGTCCTAAACGAATTCAAATCAAAAAGTGATCAACTACAAAGTTTCATAACTTTTCAAGATCTACAATTTTCATTTAGGAAGTTTTTCCATCCAAGGTCGTTTGAAAAATTCAAATTTTAAATTTGAGAGATTCAAACGTAGTTTCGTATGATAAGATGATTTCAAATCAAAAAGTTGTCAACTACATAGTTTCATAACTTTTGGAGATCTACAATTTTTATTTAGGAAGTTTTTCCATCCGAGGTCTTTTGAAAAATTCGAATTTTAAAAATTTCAAATTCAAACGTCATTTTTGTATGACAAGATGATTTCAAATCAAAATGTTGCCAACTACAAAATTTCATAACTTATCAAGATCTACAAAGTTTATTTTGGTTATTTGTTCATCCGACATAGTGGTAGTAACATTGTTGACAAATCTTATATATCTCTCTTCTACTTTTATGAAACTAATATGAGAGATGTAGATTTTATGAACAACGTTATTGTCGCTTTGTTAAATGAAGAAATGACCAAAATAAACTTTGTAGATCTTGAGAAGTTATACAACTTTGTAGTTGAAAAGTTTTTCATTTGAATTCATTTAGGGCCTCAAAAATTGCTTTGAAAAACTGATTTGCCGAGGGCAAAAAAAAATACACACGGCAAAATGCTTCTTTGTCGAGTGCCAAAACAAAGGCACTCGGCAAAGACGCATTTTGCCGTGTGCCGAAAAATAGCACTCGGCAAAATACATCTTTGCCGAGTGCCAGAAAAAAGGCACTCGGCAAAGACGCATTTTGTCGAGTGTTTTTTTTTGCCGAGTGTATTTTATTTAGCACTCGACAAAGACCGTCTTTACCGAATGTCCGATAAATTACACTTGGCAAAGCCTCCGACACTCAGCATGCTAGCATCATATGCCATGCTTTAACAAGCTTAAGTCACCAAATTTATTTTCTAGCTTTATTCTTGATAGCACAAGCCAAAATTCATGAGCTTGTTCGGCTGGCCACTTCTGGCTGGCTGGACTTCTTTTTTTTTTTCTAGCCGGAGCAATATTTTTCTCTCACCAAATTCCTGCTGCTACAGTGTTTTCAGCTGCTACAATGCAATTTAATGCCAGCCGAACAAGCTCCATAACTGGCCACTACATGCATGCTGTTGGAAATCTGACAACCTTTTTTTTTACAACAGAAATCTGACAACCTTAAAAAACATTTGCATGCATACATACACCTCTGTTTACAGAGAAATCACATAAATCAATCACTATCTAGTACCCTCACTGATCGGGTGCAAACTTGATGATGTAAAATGCAGTTACTTTTGAGTACTTGAGGCCCATTTCAATGAAATCCAGAATTTTTTTTTGTTGAATGTGATTGTAATATAATATATTGATCCGTTACTTGGGCAAGATGAACTGATAATGTTGCAAATAAAAGCAAATCAGGCTAGAGCAATCCAGAGAAAATGAAACATGAAATCTGACAACCTTTTTTTTTTACAACAGAAATCTGACAACCTTAAAAACATCATGCATGCATACATACACCTCTGTTTACAGAGAAATCACATAAATCAAGCACTATGTAGTACCCTCACTGATTGAGTGCAAATTTGATGATGTAAAATGCAGTTACTTTTGAGTACTTGAGGCCCATTTCAATGAAATCCAGAAGAAAAAAAAACTTGTTGAATGTGATCGCAATATAATGTATTGATCCGTTACTTGGGTAAGAAGAACTGATAATGTTGCAAATAAAAGCAAATCAGGCTAGAGCAATCCAGAGAAAATGAAATATGAACTCCTGTTGGTTCTTTTTTTATATATATAAAAGAACTTTTAGCTTTGAGACAAGCTGCACGCAGGCCCCATACAGTACGCCTCACCACTGCCTACTTCTTTCTCTGGCAAAACAACGAATTGAACAAAGTGGCTTTCTTCCAGGAATAGGAAAAAAACACAGTTCTTGCTTCCCATCCCACAATCTGAACTTGAACACCCCCTCAAATAAGATCTGAACTTGAACAGTCAGGCATCGATGCAAAGACGTTTGAAAACAAGCTGAGCATTTATAAATTAAACCAGCCAGCAATCACAAAGAGAACATCAATCAAAGAATGAACCAGCAACAAGACAAACTGACAATATTACGAGGGAAAGAACAACTCATACATGGAACTCATTGTACACCCTTATTATGAATTGCGTTGTATTCCCTTTCTCTAATTGGCATGCCAAACACAAGGTTTTGATGATAGTTTATAGGTAGATGCTGCTTCCCCTACTACAACAATGGAATGAGAACCAAAAGTGCACCACAGTTAACAACAAAGAAACAGCATGATCATCGTGGAATCCGGTTCACGCCCGACTGATCAAGACCATAACTTCCAGGAAGCGAGGATCCTCCGCCGCCGTGTCGCGCGCGAATGATCAAGGCGACTGCCGCCTTGGCCCCCGGGCATGGTGGTGGATGGGGTCCGGTCCCGTTGGCACCTCCCTCTCGGACTCCGCGCCAAAACCCGTCGTGCTCAGGTCCTCCTCCGCGCGCCCTGCACGCCGGAGCCGGAGAAAACCCCGGCCAGGAAAGAAACCATCAGAAAAAGAGCCGCCTTTTCTTGACCCTAGCTCGCAGCACGGCGGCGTCTTCTTTTACCTTGGCCACGTCCGCCTTCTCCCGCAAGCCCTGCGCGGTGTCCATCGGCGCCGCCGTCTCGAGCTGTCGCAATGCAGCCGCTGCACCGCCGGCGAGGGAAGGAGCGGGCGAAAGCGTCAGGTTTTGGGGCGGCGGAAGAACCAAGAAACACGGTTTGCGATGCGATGCGATGGACGGGCGTTACGTACCTCCCCGGTAGGACGAGGCGGCGGCGGGCGGCAAGCAGGCCAAGAGCACAGCGACGGCGAGCATGGCGACGACGGCCGCACGAGCCATCCGGCCAGACGCGGCGGCCTCGCGGACGCAGCGGCCAACACGCGCAAGGCGAGGGAAGAGATGGAGGAACAAGAGCCAGGCTTGTCTGCTCCAAAACCCTCTCTCTGCCCCCTGCCGCAGAGTTGGTTTCGCCCGTCTGGTGGGGGGGGGGCTCAAACGAAAACCGGGAGGCGCATCGCGTCGCGGGCTCGCGGCGGCAGGTGCTTTGCACCCCTATCCGTGCTACGGTCACGTGCCGCGGATACACGTGGCGAGCATCGGGTGCTCTGATCGCGCCGGGAGGGCTCTCCTGCTGCGCCGTCGCGGCCAGCGCCGTATGTGGGGGCCCGCGATCCAGTGACGGAGGTGGAGCGGCCCGGGGATTTCTCGCCTTGGCGGCGAGCGAGCGCCGAGCGGCCGTCCTCTCTCGCCTCGCTGACGTCAAAGACAGCTGGTGGTCAGAGCCGGCCGTTGGACGATTTTACAGCTTTGCCACCGCTTGGATTCTTTTCCGCTTTTCCGCTTGGGAAATGGTAGAGAGACTCAAAGATTTGAACTTGAAATGTCTTCAACCTTTTTTTTACCCTCACCCAAAGTGGAACATAGAACTTTTGTACCTTTTTCCCTAATATAAAAAAGAGAACCTTTGTACTTCGAAAAATGACCACTAGCGGGTAGCATCGGAAAAGATCAGCAAGGCTGTGCACGTATCTTCTCCATGAGTGAGGTGGCAGTTGGAGCCATCGCGAGCAACATCACACAAGATGTAGCTTTTTTTTTAAGAACACAAGATATACGTCTTGTTCACTTGAACTTATTCGGAACAACTTTTCAGCTATGGAACATTATTTTCCTCTCACAATATTTCAGCATAAACCAAAAGCATCAGGAAAAACTACTTGTGGTTTTTTAATGGAAGTGCCAGAAGCCGGCTCCACCAAGTCTGAACAAAGTGATCAGCAAAGAACAAGGACAAGCGGGAATGTATGTTTGATGTACACATGAATACAGGACAAAATCCTGAAGGGAACAAGCAGCTTTCACAGAAAAGAATAAATGGGAAAGAGTACAGGTACTTCTAAGGCATGAGCATACGTCCAGACCTTCGCTTTTTATGCTACCACTATAGAGAGGAAAATAGTATGCCAACTACAACTCAAAACGGACAAACACATGGTCAAGGAACACTGCCTTCGAAGGAACACTGCCAGCTCGGAGCAAACAAATGAAAAACCCTGTAATCTTGCAGTATGTTTTAGAGATTCAGAGCAAACAACTTTGTTTTGATTCTTTCTTTCTTTTAAGTAAAGAAAAACTCATTGATCTTTGACAGAAAAACAAAGATCGATCGATTGACTTCATATCATTGCATTAAGGCAAACTCAGAGTACACACCTGTAGCTTACATTATTTCCAGCCACTTATTGATCATATATCGCTACTATGATCCTAAAACTGTAAAAACAGCAGCAGCAGCTGCTCAACTGCTATGACGAGGCCTTCCGCTTTTGCTGTCCTACATGGCTACATCCTGTTCATCACGATCTCCTCCTTCATGGCCAGCCGCAGGGCACCGAGGCAGCCGCCGTCGTCGACCCTGACGCCCGGCATGGCCACCGCGCGGCTGCCGACGAACCCATCCTCGCCCACGTGGACCCTGCCAAACTTCACCTCCCCGCCCTCGCCCTCGTACACGTGGCCAAACAGCAGCGCGTCCCGCCCCACGCTTGCACCGCGCTCCAGGTGCACCATCTCCGGGTTCAGCAGCGCGCCCATGGAGTCCACGTACACGCCACCGGACACGGCCACGGATGCGCCCATCGCCCGCATCCACCCAGCGAACAGCACGGACCCGGGAGTAAGCTCCGCGAAGTACTCCGCGGTCGCCGTGCGCACGGCCTGCCAGATCGTGTCCAGGAACACAGGCGGCGACCAGATGTGCACCGTGTCACCGTCGGCCCGCCTGCCAACCAGGGCCCACTTCGCTGCGGCACAGGCACCCATCGCGGCGACGCCTGACATGGCCCAGAAGATGGGCAGAGTCCAGTAGAGTGGCATGCCGGTGGCCGTGGAGGCGAGGAGGCCACGGAGGGGGAGGAAGATGACTAGTCCCACGACGAAGTACGGCAGGAGAGTCTGCAGCAGTGGCTGGCACAGCGTGGCCCAGAGCGCCTGGTACCATGTCCGAGCCAGCGTCACCTTGGTGGCTTGATGGACGTCCGAGCTTGAGCGCGTCGCCGCGATGACCGGACAGCCTGACAAGTCGATCTTGGTGTCTGACTGCTCGAGGAACGCTCGCCACGAGGCCGGCAGTGGCTCGCCATTTCGCACGCGCTGGCAGATCTCGTAGACCAGCGAGCGCCCATGGTCGATGGACGCGCTCTGCTTGCAGGACGTCGCCGAGATCACGTCCACCTCTTGGCACCGCAGGAACGGGTTGAACTCGAGCTTCTCCGTCTCCTCTGCTGGGAGATTGCTGCCAATGCTTATCTCTCCGACTTCGATGTACGGGAACTCGGCCTCGTCCCAAGGCCGTGTGCAGTCTAGAGCGATGTCGCGAGCGGCGCTGTCAGCAGGGACATCCCTGAGCTGCAGCTGGAAGACATAGCGCACCCCCTCGGGAGACTGCACCTTCCGGCGGAAGTCGTCAGCGAGGAAGAGCAGCGGGCGTGTGTCACCCTCGTCCCTCGCGATCGCACCAGTTTCCGGTGGCAGGATGCCACGCGGCACCACTTGGCCGGAGTCCTCCGAGATGCCTTGGTCCGCAGGACGAAGCTTGAACTTTGCGTACATCTGCCTACCGTCCTCGAACCGCAGCAGCCGGCATATGTTTGAGTAGTAATGAAGCATGGTGTACGAGTCGGTGTTCCGCAACGAGCCCCAGACGGCGTCGCGGATGTGCGGTGCACGCTTCACTTGCTCTTCCCTCGCCGGCAGGCCACAAACAAGCCAGGTGGCGAAGTCGGCGATTGTGCGCGCGTAGAACGCCTTTCCACTCTTCAGTGTGAGGTCAAGAAGAGGCACCTCGCCGTCATCCGAGAGGATCCGCACTGCTGCGCCACGAGCGTCGAGCCTTGCGTCGTCATCTGCGCTGAGGCTGTTGCTGTGCCGGACAATCACCGGGAAAGACTTGCCGGCGCCAAATATCTTGTGCTTGGGCAGCGAAGGTATATCTTGGTACATCCTCAGGACCCCCCGCCCGCTGACGCCAATGCGGTGGAAGTATCTTGACTTGACGTTCATGGTAGTGATGGCCAGGTTCGCCGCAAGGTTCCCAACAATCTTCTTATACATCGGGTCCATCTCTGCAATCCGTTCATCTTCTGTGAGCAAGGTGTTCTTCACCAAGGTCAGAGACTGCGCCCCGACATAGACGCCACCTTGAAGGAGAACCGAACCCTGTGGGGCGACAGATAGTGCTCCCAGGATGACATTCTCTTGGAGGACAGAGCCAGGAAGGAGCAAGCTGCCACTGCCAACCACAGTGTTGTCCTGGACCTTAATCTCTGCACTGGTAAACCCCTTTGAGTAGAACCCTGGAACAATATTGCAGAAATCACCTAGATGGACCCCATCACCAATGCTGATCAGCTGAGGATTTGCCACCGGATTGATGGCTCGGATAGAGCAATGCCTGCCAATCTTTGCTCCAAGAAGCCTCAAGTACATGCAGAAGGCTTCTGTACCCGATATCATCTTTGCAAATCTGAGGTGTGCGGCGATGGTTATGCGCTGCTGGATCAAACTTGCCATATCCTTCTTCTTGGTCCCTGACCTTGTAGCAAGAGCTTTGTTGGTGACACTGGTGAGAAGACTAACAATGATCCCATAACTTAAGTAGGCGAAGGCAATGAAGAGAGCAAATTCCACTGGGCTCTTGGTTGTCTCCTGGACAATCACAGCATAAGCGGCAATGACAGCTGGCAACCAATGGAAAGCACCAGCAACACATGCAAAGGAGAAGTGCTGAAGCGAAGCCGTGGTGCCTGAAAAGTGGGTGTACAACATGAAGACTGTTGCACCTGATAAAGCACCCAAGAAGCCAACTGCATAGATGCTAACGAGGTGTTCAAATGCCATGTTTGCTGTCCCTGCTTCGTCCTGAAAAAGAGTAGATGGTCAAAATTCGAATGATAACACAACAAAATCATTCTTTAGTTGTAGTATATATCATTACATAAATATGAGAGTGGTGCTGGAAAATGGCAAAGCATGTTTCCAACACGCCAACACGCAAACGAGAATTTCCAATATCATCAGACGATGAGCTAAGAAAAACAGAGGAAAAAAATCATTTGCGCACAATCTTTTCTAGGCCTCCCTTGTAATTTTTTTCTGTCGCTTCCTATGTCTAAAAAATATTACCTCTAATTGTAGTACTAGACTGTAGGCAACTCAATTGCCAGTAACTTCATCAGTGAACAAGAGGTGAATGAAGGTTCACAAATCTATGTATGTAGGTGTATTTCTGTAGTTCACTAACTTCAAAGCCTAAAAATAACCAACTCAAATTCTATTTGTTTTATGCCTTAAGATCTTAGGTGATTAGCAATTTAGCACAAGAACTTAGTGTATAAATTCAAATATTTCTAGCTACCTTCATGTACGCAGAAGCTCCGCTAGGAGGATATGCTGATTTCGCTTGCTCAGTCTTTTGCAATGGTGGAACGACAGCGCCACCATGCACAACAGTTCCCTTCTGGATCACCGCATAAGGGCCAATTGATGCCTTCTGACCAATCTTGATATGCCTGAAACTCAGCACTTCATTACGGACTTCATGGCTCTGAATGAGAACACCTTCTGCGATCACTGCACCATCTGCGACTGCTAGTAAGGATGGGTCAGTGATGTCTACCGTATCAATGACAACATGTGAACCAATCCGAGCTCCTTGCATCTTGAACCAATAATTCAAGAAGACTGTGCCCTTTAGATGCACAGCTAGCATCTTTGCTGCTAATGATTGTGCCTTGTTTAGTGCCCACCATTTCACAAAGTCAACCGACCATATCGAAATATCAGGGGTTAAAACATAATTTGGCTGAAGGAATGGCTTCCCCAAGGTAGACAGGGATAATGAAGTGAACAAGGCATAGCAGATCCATGCAATAGGTGCCAAGACCAAAGAACTAAGATAGCTCAGTAGTGATGATGATTTCACCAGACTGACTGAAGATATGCTCATGTACATCGAGCTTGCGAGATATGCTGGGAGTAGCAGGATAAAACAGACATAAGTAAGAGCCAGGAGTTGGAGGGTCCCAGTAGCAAACACGCTAAGATCTAAACTAGTGGCATCTGTGATAACTAGATTCTCATCTTCAGCGGAGTGAGATACATCAGGTTCTAACTGTGGTTGTGACTTGCATGCGCGCCAAATTCTCCAAGAAGCTGGCAAGCTCAGCAATACCGCTTGCTGTAAAAATGTCAATGGCTCCAACAGGAATACCAAGAAAATCTGAGAGCTTCTGAGCAGCTCGGACCACTGCAATTGAATCAAAACCGTAAGAAGGTAGACTATCAGTTGGAGAAATTTTGTCCTTTGGAATGCCTGCTTGATCTGATACTATCTGTGTTAGAAACTCAATAATCTCACTGGACCTTTTCACTTTGCTTCTAGGCTGAGGTGCCAGCTGTGGTTGTGACTTAAGCACCAGATTCTCCAAGGAGTTAGCAAGCTCTGAAATGCTGCTCGCAGTAAAGATGTCAATTGCTCCAACAGGTGTACCAAGAAAATCTGAGAGCTTTTGTGCTGCTCGGACCACTGCAATCGAGTCAAAACCATAAGAAGGTAGGCTGTCATTTGGGGAAATTTTATCCTTTGAAATACCTGTTCGATCAGATACTAACTGCGTTAAAAACTCAACAATCTCCATGAATTTTTCACTTTGCTTCTAGGCTGAGGGTGAATGGTAGGATCAACAGCGTGCTTCAAGAAAGGTCTCCTGATTTCCATGCCAGTTCCTGTAGTGAGAGACCGAAAAAGAGACTTCTTGTTAGATATATGATTACCACTTGCTAAGCTAAGAGTATTATCAACAAATTGCTTCATGCATTCAAATCTCCGTATTTTCCCAGATGTTGTCTTGGATATGGTTCTAGGCTTGATAAGCTTGATAGATGCAATAGTTACACCATGCTCCTCGGCTACATGTGTTCTGATGCTGTCTGCAATCTCTTCAGAGGCTACTTTACCCTCCCTAACCTCAGCGATCACGACAAGTCCAACCTGATCAGAAGAATCAGGGATTGAGATGCCTTTCTGGGTTAAAACTTCCTCAGGAACACCAACAACAGCACAACAGCCTGGTCGAAGAACATCAGAAGAACCTTCCACTGTCTTCTCTACATCTGCAGAATAAATATTTCTACCAGCAACAATGATAAGATCTTTGATCCTTCCTGTAATAAAAAGTTTACCATCAATGATCCGTCCTAAATCACCAGTTCTTGTAAACTTTATGTTAGGGTAATTCTTGAGACAATTGCAAAAGGTTCTCTGGCTTGTTTCCTTATTGTTCCAATAACCAACTCCAGAACTAGAACTGCTGATCCATATCTCACCCTCAGCACCATCCTCTTGATGCTCTGTCAAAGAGTCTGGATCAACAATTTTGATCACAACATCTGCATCATTTGGATCAACATACCCACAACATATTCTTCCCTGCCAGTCTATAAAAATGGGCTTGCATTCACCAAAAGCACAGCTAACATAGACACAATTCTCAGCCAGGCCATATCCAGGAGCAAGTACACCTTCAGAAAAGCCCAAAGGTTGAGTCAACTCTATGAACCTTTTGACAGTTTTTTGCCTCACTGGCTCTGCGGCAATCATGAGGAAGATCATTGAAGAGAGGTCATACATTTTGTTTTTCTCAGCCTCAAGCCGTCTTGTAACCAATTCAAATGCAAAGTTTGGCCCTGCACTGTGTGTTCCATGGTAGTCACTTATTGTTTTGAGCCATAGGAGGGGGTTTCTGATAAATGTCATTGGTGAAAATAGAATGGAAGTTCCTCCACTTACAAGAGTAGTGAAAAGACCCCCTATTAGACCCATGTCATGGTACTGTGGAAGCCAACTGATAAGGACAGTTTTTGAAGTACTTCTATATCGCTCCTTCATCATCTTCGCATTGTGGATTAGTCCACCATGTGTTATCATCACACCCTTGGCGTCACCAGTGGAACCTGAAGTGAATTGTAGAAAGCACAACTCACTTGGCTGGGGCTTGGTAATCATAGGCACAACACTTTCTGAGTTGAAACTGTCTGGACTTCGTCGATAGTTCTTAATCCATGAGTCAGTGTGAATCCATGGGAGGTCAGGCCACTGAGCTGAGAATTTCTGAGCACTCTTTGCTAGAGTGACAATATTCTTGATATAGCCTGCACGTACAACAGCATGGTATGAAGAGGTGGATAGAATTGCCACAGCATTGCACACCTTAGAGACATTCTCAACTTTCAGAAGTGCTTGCCCACCCCTTTGCATTGGGTCAGGGGGCAAAACTGGGACTGGTATAACTCCTGCTCTGATGCATCCAAAGAATGCATCAACAAACTCCAAACCAGGTAGATGAATAAGAAGAACTCTGTCACCAGGCTTGATAATAGGCTTTGTGCTTGTCAATAGCCTATATGCAATGTAAGATGCATTATCATGAAGCTCCTGGTAGGTTCTACGATTCACGATCTTCCCTTCTTCGTTGATCCAAGTGTAGATAACCTTCTCTGCAGTGACTCTATGAGTTCCCCAGTATTGTAAATATCCATCCAGGGATGGAAGATGGGGGAATTCAACTCCTTCAAGCTCACCAATATGTCTAGGAGGTGAAGGATTTCCTTTGGATAGAGGAAAAAGTCTCTGCATATTTACAAACATAAGCATAATTACTTTAGGTAATAGAAGTTGAAATGATACTTGAAGTATATCAGGACAGTATTTCTGGCTCACCTTAACATAAGGAACCATTGGTATCTCACTGGCAATGGCAAAGTGTTTACAAACAGCTGAGATGGAGTATAACGCATTTCTTTCAGTTAGCTCAAACGCTAGCAGACCTCCAACAAAGTAAGTGTTCTGAAAGCCTTGCAACTGAGACTCCACCTTCTCGTAGAATCCATTTTTCATGTCTGCAATGCAAGGAATCATTATTGTTGGAATGCATAATTGAATTATTTGATAATCAGAAGCAACCCTGTCAACCTATACCTTCACTGCTGACATGAGGGAAATATTTGAATCGCCGCTGTAAAAGCACTTTCTGCACAGTTCCTCCCATAGATGTCACAACATTGGTTACACATTTAGCCACATATGACTCCTTGATGTCTGCTGAATTCCCATAAGACCAGAACAAGAAAATATTTGTGTCAGCAAAGAATCTTTGCATTGCCACTGGATGCCCTACTGTTGTTGGATCCTCCATGTATTCCCCAAAGTAGAAAAAGCCCTTTGGCATGTGCTGAAATCCTTCAATCTTAACAACAGTTGTATAGTAGTCAATCGTCCGTACCTTACTGAATAGCTCTCTTTCAAGATCATTCAGTTCTACCACTTCATTTTCTCCATCTGAAAAATGGCATATATATCTTCAGATGGCTGGAGTACTAGCTTCAATCAAACGAAAGGTGAATTTAAATCATACTTACCAGTCATACTCAAAGATCGATATGTTTTCCCATTCTTGAAAGGAAGAGCACCTGACAATATAATTTTATCAAACTCCCTAACTTCTACATCATCATTGATATTCTTGATGGTTACACTTGCGACACAGTTGTCACGCTTGACTCTGAGAACCTCCGTGCCACAAAGAATTTCAAATGGTAATGAACGACTAAGTTTCTCCCACAAGCTCATGTAACCATGCTTGAAACGTCGGATCTTGCCAGCCATAGAGGTTCTAGTAAACTCATGTATGAAAGCATAGGGCATGTCTTGAACAAAACCATAGCCAGAAGCAGTGTAACCATATACTACAGATTTTGGCATTGAACTTATTCCATGCTGCTTCAAAAAGTCAAGAGTTGGATCTGAGGCCAATCCACTAACTGCATGAATTCCCACTCGTCCAGACCTATTTGCCTCGTCCTATAAAATGTATCAAAGAACATACATGTGAGAAACAGAAAGAAATGCTATCCAATAGTAAAGTAGACCAAACCATTAGTTATTAGCACTGAAAATCATATTCCTTTTGACCGATTTATAACTAGTCCAAATTATTCTAGAAAAACTTGCCTGTAATTTTAGCGTTAGAGATACCATGGATACATAGTCCTCAGCAACTTCAAGATCTCTAATGTTTCCTGTTTGGCTGTCAATCAGAGCAAGCTTGTGTGTATCCATTTCTTCAAATTCAGAGCCTAGTTCCTTTGCCAGGTGAGTTATAACAGGGCACTGTTTGCTGCTATAACTTGTCCTCCCAGATCATATGTCCTTCCTGAATAACAATGCCATTGATAAGTAAATACACAGATGTCGAAACAATTGAATAAGAGTGCATTAATCAAGTTCCTCACCCTCAATATCAATGGACTCGCACATCCCTGAAACATTATGGCATTTCTCAAACACAGTTACATTGTGATATCCTAGCTTAGCTAGTGCAAACGCTGCTGATAAGCCGCTTGGCCCTGCTCCAACTATGCCAATTCTGGTGTCTACTGGCAAACTTGGATGCAACTTGCTGAATTTATCATCTATTGATTTTCCTGGATCCATATTTGACTTATTGTCGATCTTGATAAATCACCTGTGGAATTTATATGGAGAAAAAACTCCGTTAGGACCTTTTGACATTCATTTTTGTGGCATCCACAAATGAACAGAGGAAATGAACAAGCTAAATTCCCTTCCTCTTAACGAATTATTTCTTCCAAACTATAACTTCAGGATATGTCAGCTCCTATTTTAATTAACATATCAAGTAGCCACTAGGAGGTTGTAGTTTTGCTTCCTCATATGAAATGTCTATCATATGATACTAATTAGAAAATAGAAATGTTACTGCTTAGAAAACTAGCTTGTTGACCAACATGTAATTGCTAGATAATTATTGTGAAGTGGTTGTGGTGTCACTTTAATATGACATTATGATTAGCAAGATGAGAAAACTATTTGACCATGTGCTGCAAACCACGAAGCCAAAGTAACAAGCAGATACATCATCAAATTGTACTATCAAAAACAACATCAAGCACCATAATGTACTAGCTCATATAATATGGTGCAATTAGTCTATGATAACTGTCAAGGGTTCTAGAAGGTGGATCGGCATCGTAAAAGAAGACGTCAAATGGAATTGAGCTTCGTGTACTTATTTGACACGTGTAGCCATACCAAATATGAACCTAACCATGGTGTTGTTCTGACTAAATATTCCACGCTCATCTCTATTCAGACACCTTCAGCAAGACAGAGCTTTACTCGATTCAACGGTATAAAAACGGACTGCCTGGGAAGAACATGAAAGACCTGAACAAGGTATCACACATGCCATGTACTGATATACAGCACTTGCATATTACATTACTATGGGATTGCACATTTGCAACCATGGGCCCAGCAGCCCCGATCCCAGATAACGAAATTATTATTTTGATTGAGGAAACCGGATGATGATATTGTCGTAAAAATAAACCCAGAATAAGTCTTAAAAAAATGAGACGAAATACTTACTGAACAAAATTAAGAAATAATCCTAGAAGCCATGTGGTAGGCACCTGCGATCGCATCACATCCCCAGGTGCCAGAGCAGAAGCGAATAACAAGCACCCACACAGGCTCACATAGGAAGCACAATGCTATAGCAAATATAGCAAGGAGGGATGGAGCAGGGTCATGTCTCGTCGAGGGCGGAAGAGCGGAGACTGAGCCGTACCTCTCCTCCGGGCGGCGGGTGCACTACCCGGCACCCCGGGCGGGTGGCGAGGAAGCGCGGCGCGCGGTTGGCGCCAAAAGGCAGCCCCGGTTAGGGAAAGGGCGTCGTCGTCCGGTGCCTGGTGGTGGGGGTGACCTCAGGGCGGGCGGGAGTATTTAAGCCCGCGCAGATCCCCCCGTGGCGCCAAGGACGTCTTGACAAAGGGGACGCGGGCCGCGCGCCGTGAGTCCGTGACCCGGCGGCGATGGCGACCTCGCGGTCGCGGAGTTACGGCCAAGGGGACCGGCGGGCATATTCGTGGTGAAACCCCCGCCCCCCACGGAACTTACCGGCCGCACGGCCGGTGCAAGGTTGTGGCCTCCGCCGGGAAGGTGTGTGGTTGGTTGTTTTCTCGGCAACGGGTGGGGAAATGACAGTGGCGCCACTGTACAATATATTTGGTCGGATGGTTCGAGGGGGGTGAGATGGGGTCATTTTCTATACAGTTTGGATGGGATGGTTCGAGGTTGGTTCATCGACAACCCATACGAGGATGGGATATTGCTTAAAAGAAGGGGAATTATCTGTGTGCCACTAAAAAAGATCACAATATTTTATGTATTTTTGAAAAAGTTTAGCGGTCTTCAGCGTCACTGTTTTAACTTTTTTGTGCCCTCCATGCCACTGCCGTCAATTTAGGTTCTAACGCCGTCAAACTGCAGGTGTGAAAAGTCAAAAATACCCTTAAGTCTAAATATGTCATTAATTTTTTGAGCATCTTGATGACTTCAAATGAAAAACTCAAAACTAGAAAATTGTAGATCTCGTCGAGATCTATAATTTTCATATAAAAATTTCTTCATTTAATTCCGCAAAAAAATATGATTTAATATGATTAATATATCTTAGAAAAATCATTTTTTGCGGAATTAAATAAAGATAATTTTATATGAAAATTATAGATCTTGACGAGATCTACAACTTTCTAGTTTTGAGTTTTTTCATTTAAAGTCGTTAAGATGCTCAAAAAATTAATGACATATTTAGACTTAAGGGTATTTTCGACTATTCACACCTGCAGTTCGACGGCGTTAGAGCCCAAACTGACGGCAGTGGCATGGAGGGCACAAAAAAGTTGGAGCAGTGATGCTGAAGACCGCTGAACTTTTTCAGGGGCACGCATGACATTACGATCTTTTTTAACAGCACACAAGGAATTCTCCCCCAAAAAAAAAACAACCGGACGGGGCAGCGTTGTTCCGCTTCGCCCTCGCGGCTCACGTAGCACATGACGTGAGGGGCGCCTGAGACCCCGGTCACCACCCACCCCCAAATCGCTGACCTCCTCGTCCGCTCCCCCGTCCGGCGCACTTGGATCTCGGCGGCGAATCGGCGATTGCCCCCATCCGCGTCCGCTCATCATTCGGAGCGAGCAGGTCGGCACCGTCCGCTCTCTCCCTCTCCAGCTTTCCTTCTGCGTGTGTTGAACATCATCTCCTCCGTTGAGCGTGATTGGCTGCTCGGCAGTGAAAATGGTACGGATATTTTCTGACCGTATTTAAGATCAAAGCCGTTTAAAAGAGTTTAGATATGTTCGTATTCAAGGCCGGAGGTTCAATATCTGATACCGTATCCGTATCTAAATACTCAAATCGCATATTTATGATATCGATACCCAATCCTATTATATCCGACATAGCTTATGCTATCCATATTTCAATCTAAATCCGAACATAAATATAAAAACAAATGTAATATCGGCCGTCAGTATCCAATCTATTTTCATACATGCTTGGCATCGGCTCCTTAGGAGGTGGTATGCCTCATCTCACGGGGATATATGGTGAATGCAGATTTTTTACTCGAAAAAATGTGTGGACTAGATTTTTTTCTTGGTACGGATCTGATTATTCACGTAGGGCAGTAGGCTAATAGCCTAATACTGGTGAAAAGTTGAAAACTAAGTACTCCCTCCATGTTCCTAGAGACAGTCATTTTAAGATTATCTTAAGTCAAATATTTTAAACTTTGACTACAAATAAATTTTTTTAGGTTGAGTTTAAAAATTTGAAAGTGATGTAAGTAGATTGGAGACTAAACGAACATGCCCTAAGTCAACTATGAATTATGTTTAGATTTTTGTAACAAATAACAACCGATTACACACCAACTATAGAAAAAAATAGGTTGATTATTGTAAGAATGACCTTTGTTGTAAGTTTTTATTTGTGCAATTAATATAGAGATCACAGCTCAGCTCAGCTCGCTCACTCATTGTCAATAACTAAAATCATTAGCACGAATAGCGTGTGTCGTTGGCCTGTTGGGAGTCAGGACTCTTTGTTCTTTGCTCTGTCCTGATGATCATATCGGCGTGCACCGGACAAAGGGTCTTTGTAGTCCTGTTTTCGCACTGCTCCTGTGCTTTCGAAGTTTCAATCATTAAATTCTTACAGTATATATATGTGTGTCATATATCATTTTCATTGTACTAAGCTATAGCGCTTTTGTTGTACATAAAGTATATAACAACCCAGGCACACGAGTACGGGAGTACGTCTTTTTTACGGTATATGACATTGTTTAACAAAGATGTTCTGGATTAACGCCGTAGAAGAATTTACAACAAAAAAGAAATTTTTGTTGATGATATTATATATTAAGAAAAAGAGAAGGGTCAGATCTTGGTACACACGGACAGATTAGCTACAACCTAAAGGTAATGCAAATGCGTCGAAGTATGGTTTGTCGCATCAATCCCTGGATATTCCAAAGAAGACTGAGCATACCAAAGGGGTGCCATGTAATACGAAATTACACTAACGAAGATTACTAAGACCACTGCAAACGTATACAAAGTAAAGCATAAATATAACCTAAAGAGACATCGTGAAATCAGAAGTGCTAACAAGAGTACAAACTATATCCTAGTTAGTGGCAAGGCGTTGCTGATTGCATTGAACGTACGCCATACGCTACTGAATACTCCGTAGTGTGTGTGTGTATATACTGCCGGAAGAAAAACTACGGAACCAGCTATAATGACTCTGTTCGCTTTGCTGAAAAGCCATGACTGAAAGTACTATTCGTTGATTTGTTGTGAGAGAAAAACACAATTCGTTCACGCGCGGCTTCAATAAAGAGAAGCAGATCTTATTATTAATTATTGAGTTCTAGTATGTTGCTAACGCTACGGGTCATATTAAGTCCAAAGTAGATTTACAGTAGGAGAGCAAGATCTGTGTAAAAAAAGGAGAGCAACAAAATTTATACTCGAGCTTCTTAGCTAGCTAGGCCTCGAAATCTTCTTCACGTGTTCTCTTTTCAGGGACAGGTGCGCCATGCAGACATGCTTCGATTGCTTGTTTGTCTCTCACTCTAGATGTTTTTTGTGCTCTACACAATGCTACTTATATTGCCATTTACCATAGTACCGATATGTTTTTTTTTTGTGGCGTGTGGTGCTGCGCATTGGATCGACTAGTGT